TATTATTAAAATCACAATTTAATATTAAACTCAGATTTTAGTTACATATAAATATTAATTTCATTTTATTTGTACTCACAATTAAATATTTGTTAGAGTTGTATACTTGTCACATTTTTAATATTAAAGTTACAGTTTAGTTATAATTTCATATGAAAATCACATTTTAATTTTAAAGTCACATTTTAGTTACAATTTTATATTAGTAACATACTACCTCCGTTCTTAAATAAATGCAACACTTTGACTTTTACACTATTCACATGTTCTACTTTGACTACGTTTTATTTATTAATGTAATAATATTATTTTATGAAAAAAAAATTGTTAAACTTGTCTCATTGTAAATTTTCATAATCTAATTTTTTTTAATTTTTTTACTAATACAAAATCATTTATACTAATGGTCAAAGTTGTGTCTCGGCAAGTGTCAAATGTTGACCGTTGCATTTATTTAAGAACGGAGGAAGTATAAATTTGAACTCACAATGTAATATTAAACTCACATTTTACATACATTTTTATATTAGTTGCATTTAAATTGTACTCACATTTAAATATTTGATACAATTTTTTTTTTTACATTTTGAGATGGAGGGGTAGACATTTTGTAGATTTATGTAACCTCCAACGCAATAGAAATAAGGAGATTGCGAAGAACCATCCTACTTCGCGAGGCAAAGGTAAATGACATGTCGGTCTTCTTCTCAAAGCCGAGATGATTTTAAGACGACTTACGATCGGAGAGATGGGATGTCGGAGGAGCAACTAGCTCAACTATTGGCCCAAGGGGATGAGCGGTTTTACCAACAAGAAGACATTCCCGAGATTGATCAAGAGCTCGAGGATGAGGATGAGGAGGAACAAGCCGATGAGCAAATCCCCAATGAGGAGGAGGAGGAGGAGGAGGAACAAGGCGCCGGTTCATCCCAACTCGGTAAATAAAGTGAATCTCTTCTTATGAAATTTAATTATAAGAAGTGGAAGAAGCATGAAGACGGCAAGTGGTATGCACTTGTAAAGATTGTAACAAAGATATTAGCTTGGGGATTTCACAAGAATATGGCAACGGTCATAGGCATTTGAAGGGTCATCACCCGTGGAGTGGGTGAAAATCATAGGCAAGGGGACACAGACACAAATATCAAGATTTGCAAATAATCAACCCTATGGTAATTTCGTTTATGATGATGCAAAACCTTTAATTGCTTTGTTTGAACTAATTTGTGAAGACAATTTGTCTTTTATTTTTCATGAAAAAGTCTTGCTTTAAAAGATTATGCTCAAGGTTCTTTAAATCCTCAATTTAGAAACTACAGTCGCATAACCGTTAAAAAGAAGTTACAAGGCAATATGTTTTGGAAAAGGATAGATTAAAAATGTTTTTCACGAACTTTGATGGATGTATTAGTATTTGTAGTGATATATGTGAGGATACTTCTATCATTTGTATTATTTGAGTGTGAGTATGTGACTACACATTATATTTATGATGATTGGAAAATACATAAACGTGTTATCACTTTTCGTGAATTTATTACCGATACACTGGTGATAATATTTATATTCTGATTGAACGTGTTTTAACTGAATATAATTTGATTGATAAAGTGTTTACTATTGGTTTTGATAATGCTAGCAATAATACTGTTGTTGTACCTAGATTGCGTGAATTGTCTGATTTTCTACTTTTATGGATAGGTTTTTTCATCAGTGTTGCCCGTGTCATATTCTCAATTTATGTGTAAAAGACGGTTTGACCACGTTAGGAGATGTTATGGAGAACGTGAAAGGGATATTAGACTTATTTGAGGTAATAATTTAACTTAAAAAGCAATGACGTCAATATTTGAGGGCTAGAAGTTTTAATTATTGTGCATTTCCTAAATATTTGTCTATTCACGGGAATAGTACTTATAATTTAATTACTGTACTTCTTAGATATAAAATCCATTTTCTTGCATTTTTAAAAGAAGTTGCAAACTATATTATAAATCCGGTTGGGATCGACACTGTGGAAAATATTTGCGAAGTTTTGGTTTTTTTAATACCGCAACTCTAACTTTTAGTCATGTTTATAAACCTACGGCAAATCAATTTTTTGTTGAACCTGTTAATCTCACTAGTGCTTTTGCTGAATTTGAAACTGCCCTTTACGTTCATTATTTTTGTGATTTTATGAAAGAAAAGTTTTTAAAATATTATACATATATTCCGCCAATATATGATATTGCATTTGTTCTTGATCCTCGTTTCAAACTTACTGTTTATCAAAATTGTATAGAGTACTATTATACTTTCTTTTTCGGTCCATTACTTATGTAGGGGTGGGAAAAACCGAATCGGAACCCGGAAACCGACCCTAGCCCGGCCCGAATGATATTCCCGGTCCGGGTTTTTTCTATTTAACCGGTCCGAATAAAAAAACCGGACCGAACCCAAAAATTCGGGCTCATAAGCGGGCCCTAAAATCTATAACCCGGCCCGGACCGATAAAAACCCGAAATAATTAGCTTTGATAAAAAAATCAATATATTATACAAATATAATATACAAATAATTCCTAATATATGATTATAATCATGGTGGATGAAAATATGACCTAGTAACTTTTAGTGACTAAAAATATGTTCAATTTGTTTACCATAATGACCATGGAAATATATTTATTATACGTAGTAGTCAATTTAGTCACTTTTTTATCCATAAGTTTTATTCCGTAATTTTTTTTAGAAAACCTGTATTATTTATTTATATGCATCTTAAACAAAATATTAAGATAATTATCTTCTTTGGATTTAAATTGTTGGTGATTTTGGAGACTACTATATGTGTTATTATTTGCGGCTTGTGTTATTAGTTTTATTTAAAAATAGGTTTTAAAATATAAAAAGACAATGATATGATTTCACATTCAGGCTTTAACTAGGGATGGACTCGGGTCCGGGATGGGTCCGGGTCGGGCCTAGGCCCGGGCGGGCCGGCGGGTCAGAAATGGTGGACCCGGGACCGGCCCGGGTAACCACCGGGTCCGGTCCGGGTCCGGGCCGGGCCGGGCCGGGCCGGGCCAATTATATTTTTTTTTTGTTTTCCTCTTCCTAATTAACCCCCCTCTCACCCCCAACCCCCCAAACCACCCCAAATGGCCCAAAATACCCAGCCCAAACCGAAAATTTAAAAAAAAAAATGAAAAAAAAATAGTTTTTGGCCCGAAGCGGGCCCGAGCCCGGCCGGGTCGGGCCTTATTTTGGGTGACCCGAGCCCGGACCGGAAAACCCACGGGCCGGGCCTACCCGGACCGGTCACTGACCGGGCCACCGGGTCGGGCCGGGCCGGAACAGTACCGGTCCCGGGCCGGTCCCGAGTCCATCCCTAGCTTTAACTGGCCCAAGCCGAACCCGGACCGAACCCGGTCTATAAAAAACCCGACTCGGATCGAATACAATGGGCTTTGTTCCGGTCCTTAATTTTCATAACCCGAGACCTTCCGGGTAATTTCCGGGTTTAGCAAAAACCCGACTCAGACCGGACCGATCCCACCCGGCCACCCCTATACTTATGTATGAAGAAGCTCATAGATCCTAAAGAGCAATACAACGAGGTTAGTAACTTATTTCATCAACTATTTAATGAGTTTCATGCATATTATGGTAACGCACCCCATCCCCCAAAACCAACTACTTCATCTAAACGAAAAGCATTTTCCAAAACTACATTTGATAATCTTATGAAAATAAATAAATCAACTTCCTCTGTTGCATAAAGTTCAATTAAAGAGGTTTCTTTATACCTAAGGCTTCCTATTGAGTATGAAGAAGGGAATAACTTTGACGTTATATGTCATGAAAGGACAAAGAAGGAATGTTCCTGATTTTACCGAAGATGGCGAAGCAAGTGCTATCAATGTTGGTGTCTACAATAGCCGTGGAACAAGAATTTAGCACAACCAACAACGTCCTAACGGATTATAGAACAAGATTGAGCGCACAATCTATTGAAACGCTCATTTGCTTCCACAATTGGTTGAAGGCCCGACATAACACTCAAAAAGTTTGCATCACCCCCGATCACCATTTGATGGAGGAAATAACAACCGACGCTGACGAAGATTCCAACTGTTTTTTACCAAATGTATTTAATGCTTTAAGTTATTCTTAATTTTAATTGTACTTCATATTTCAAATAAATATACAATTGTTTTTTTTCCTTCTAGCACTTGTAGAATTATTCCAAAAAAATTGACAAATACCCAACACGACCTGGGACCAGACCAGTTCCAATACAGGTACAAACGGAGCATGATAAATTTTGACCCAAAGCCCACCCGGCCCGGCCAACTCCACCCCTAACGGCCTAACCCAATGTAGTGAGAATCTAAATGATTATTACTTCAATCTATGACAGTATGACGAAATCTTTACATAAACATTGGAGTATTACCGAAAAACATTTATTCATGTAAACACTGATGTCTGCCCATGATTTTTCTAACCTTTATGGAATGAATTTATCCTAAATTTTGGCCATTTTTTGGCTTAGATAACTACATACAGAAAAGAATTCAAGACATAACTTTTAGATTCTTTACACGTTCCACTAAAAAATCAATGTAAAACGATTACAAGGATGGAATGTTGATGCAGGCAGGCAATGCAAATGCAGCACATGAACATGAAAACCACAGTTGACGACCTAGTAATCAATGAGAAAGAAATTGGTAATAGGGGTTGGATGGTTAGTTTCTTTATACTTCTTCAATACAGTAATTGTCCCAATGACTAATAACTAATAACCATTATGCTTTACTGCAATCTACTTCAGGATCGCAGGAGGCGTTTTTCACATGTCAAGATCCTGTAGTTTGCATGAGGGCCTTCTGATGTGTCACGTAATGTAACATGCCAGCCCATTGCTTTGCCAACCTCCTCAAGTTCATCCATAACTGCCACAGAGTCGCGGATATATGCTCGCCCACCAGGCCTCAATATTCGATCCATCTCTAGCATGATTGTTGATATGTTGCATCTGATAATAATGAGAACACAAAACAAGATGGCATCAGATTCAGGGAAATCTGGATGCACTTGATCCATCATATTTTTACTTTCTTACAAAATGTATGTTACTTTTTTCAATTTTCATTTCACCTAATTTAGTTGCTACCTAGAACAAACGGAAACATGCAGGGGCCTGCGTTTCCCCATATATGAAACATAGTGCAGTTTCCAAACGCCCAAAAAGCGTGTCGAGCCCGTTTCTGAATTTTTGAAAGTTTGGAAATGCATTTCCAAAAATAAAATCTATAGAATTTAAAATTTAGGATTCCAAAAATGTATGTGTGGTCTTCATCCAGCCGCCTTCAGTGAACATTTTCTTAGCATCTGCGCACATCGTCTTCAGCGGAAACTGTATTATTCGCTGCCATTTCAAGCTGGCCATCTCTGAGTACTTTGCGTCTTGTTTGGTTTCTCGAAAGCAGAGATCTCCTGAGTCGGAGGGTTGGCTTTGGGGTTGCAAATAAACCGTACGACAGTGTGAGTACTGCTGGAGAGTGGAGACTTATCTAGGTGAGTTTAGTGATGATGTCCGGCTCTCTCCTAATTAATTCATTATCATCATTACCCCAGTGCCACAAAGGCTCCCCCTTCAGGGGGTTAGATGTACGCAATCTTACCCCTGTATTAAAGCACATAGAGACTATTTCCGGATGATCCGTAGTAAAATTGCATGAACTGACTAGCTTCATGACAAAGAAATGCAGCCAGTTAAGTGAGACATTTTTTTTATTCCATCATATTCCCAAGCTAAAAAATAGTGAGTCTTTGGCTCCATTGCAAATGATGGAAATGCTCCCTAATTAATTACTCCGTATTAATTATTTTAAATTTTTAAATGTATACGGAGCAAGTAATAAGGGAGTTCTGGATTTGCTACTTTAATATCTAAGGTGTAAGTTGATATTCCTATGGGTTAAATGTCTCTATAATGTACTCTCTGTATGCACACACATACACTGACACACACACATATAGATATATATGTATATATATCTATTTATTTATAAAATAATCCCTATATTTTTTTATTTACACGTTTCCCCCACGTTTCGTTTCCTGTATTTTTGTAAATGGCGATTCCGGTGTTTCCCGCTTCTTGTTCCATGCTACTTGGGTTACTACTGTATATTTCAAGATAGCGTTCACTACTTTATTTTACTTTATGCTTGAATACTTAACTAAAATGGCATAACTTCCTGAATTCTTGACCTGCAAATGCTACATTGAATGAGGGATAATTTATGCTACACACTCTTTTATCCATATCTTTTAACAATTCCATAATACTAAGTATATGTGAAACACTGCAAAGTGGCATCTCTTTTGTCTTGTTTGGAACAGCAGGAACTGTTTGATTGATAAAACTTCATTTTCTTTTGGAAAATGTATGTTGAAGAAAAACAGTTATTTCGAAGAAAAAATTTCCACGAATAACTTTTCTTCCTGTGACAAAGTAAAAATACCTTTTTCGCTCAATGGAAAAGAGCCCATTAGCATGCAAGAAATCGTATGTTCTTGGGTATGTATCAAATGGTTCACACCTGAAAGACACTACAAACTTGTTATAAATGTTGTAGAGCACTAAAGGCATCTATCATCTACTCAAAATAAGAGGTCTGGCCTCCGCTTACCAATCATGCAAAACGCCTATAAGTCCACGGTCATATATAACGGGTAAAGTGTTTGGCCCACTCACTGGAACCACATTCAGAACCCAACAATCAAAGTTGGAATCAATCAATGCAGCAGCAAATCTGTTGAAAGCACAATAAGTCTCAGCAGAATAAAATAGGGAACGATTAAAGAATGGGGGAAGAAAATCAATAAATTACCCACCCACCAAAACCAGCTCTCATGTCTAACACATTCCTAAGTTTGAATTTCTTCCAATGCATTGCACGGACATAGCCCTCAATTATTTCAACCCAGTATTTCAGTTCTGCCCTGAAAAGCTCTTTTCTTGATATATAAGCATCAAATTTTATGCTTTGCAGCCTGTCTGGGGGATCTTTAAGACGTGCTGGCCAATTCGTGACATTTGCACCATATCCATTCTCTGGCAGATGTGTTATGCAAGCTTTCATATCAGCATACCTAGACGTATATGCATACTACTTAATGATAATGCAAAAACAGAATGTTGAGTAAGCATTATGAAATTGGTAGTAGACGGACGCGTGTTTGCATACCAGACATTGTCTGGATCATCATCGGGTTCACATAATGGTGGATGGGTCCCTTGCACTCGGTTTAAATAGCAGCTGTTGTTTAAGGGCTTCTGCCATATTGCAATATAACCCTCCTTCTTTACAAGTCTCCAGCAAAGATTGTTTGTGAGATTAACCATCTCTGGGCACACCCAAAAAATATCAATGTCAAAATTCACTTTTTTATTGTTGTTCATTAATAATATTGATATTTTCACACAGCTATAAAATATAGAACGAAGCAGGTTATCTAAGAAAGAGCATGGAAGCAGCGAAAATTCAAAGGAAGCCAAAATGAGAAGACCAGATAAACAAAGCAGTTTACCTTCCCATTGCTCTTCTAAGTTTGGTTCATGTTTGTAAACCGGCTGCGCAGCCCAAACAAAATAGCCTCCTGCACGAAGCATCCGGTTGACCTCAAGTAACAAAATACCATCTTCATAAAAAACACAGCACATGAACGATTAGTTACAATAATAATTGTATCCAATCTATTGACTAGTATAACAGTAAAAAAGAACAGGACAAGACGGTAAACAAATTCTCATTTGAGGACTTGAGCATCTTGTGTTACAGAGTGTATTAATAAGTATTATATGCACTACCATATTAATTTTCTCATTTGAGGATTTGAGCATATCAAATTATAAATATTATATACACTACCATATATTGCTTCTCATAACTGTTCTCTGTATTATACGTAGTATATAATTATATAACTCGGGAACTACCTAAGATTAGATGAAGAAAGGTGTAACATAGAAACCTACCATCGCGAGTCCAATTAATCCTGCACCTTGAACAATGAATTAACTCAAATGCCTGACTGGGATATAATAGACGCCTTGTTGCAAAAGCAGCCACCATGGCAGGTACCCCCCGCTCAAGTGCAAACTGAATCTGATTTTCATGGACATCTTTTGGAGCGATTGAGAGGGTGAGAACATTGCGTGATAAAAGATATGCACCAAAGCTTGCAACACCACAGCCAATATCCAAAGCGACACGTGTATGGCGGCCAAATGCAATTTCAGGCACCATCTAGCAAACAGATCATATATAAAATGTTAATAATCTTGAATACTACCTCAATTCTGCACCCCACCCCAAAAAAAGGACGGTCAAGATACAGCTTCCTCCATTTCAATAAAGATTCTGCTTTGGACGCTTAAATTTAAAAATAGTCATATTTAAACAAAAGAAGCCGAATTCCATTACTTTTAATGTATTAAAAAAAAGGTTCCTGAACAAGTTAAATTTGTAGAAACCAACAAAAACATTCAAAATATAATTATGATTAATGGTTTGCAAGAGTTGTAATCCTTCTTATATGAAGTAGTGTTTTTTTTATTTTGGTAAGGCACAAGGATCATAAATATTAATTGTACGCAAATTTTCAAAAATTTCTGTCATTTCAAGTTCTTATGATATGTAACTCGCTTGTGACTCTTTCAAGTTCTTACATGAAACATTAGCTACATTTGATAAAATAGGACTCTTTTTGGACAAGAAGTTTAAAGCAAGGTTTTTTATTTTTATTTTTATTTTGAGATGGATAGATCATTATGTTTCTGAAACTACAAAAAGAAAATGAAGAGGAAAAAATCACCTCCTCAATCTGATTTAAGTACTGATCTGCCCCGTGAATGAATTGAGTGCCACCTCCAGGAAACTTGAACTTATCCTTGTCTATTGTTATCCAATTTTGGCCTCCTTTATCTTCAACTAAGCGAGCATGTGGAACATTGCTGAACCAAACCTGCATTGTAGCACACAAGTACAAATGTATCATCAAAAGTAATTCTTGAAGAATTGGTTTCTTCAATAATGTATCTTCTCAAGAACACAGTAAATATCATTTTCTTAGTATGCTACAAGAAAAATGCTATGATTAGGCAAAAATGTTATACCTCATCACGACTTCTAGGCCATGAAATTGGTGTTCGGTAACCTCTAGGGGCAGGAACCAAGCAATTCAACGCCTTGTCTTTGTCAGGACAATGGCGTTCAAACTTTTCCCCTTTCTCAGTTGATTTTAATTTCTTAATAGCCTCAACATTGTCTAAGCAAGGTATGTATTCCCTGAAGCTATTCGAACACAATACGAACTTACTAACCCTAATACTCCTACCTTCCTCTGCTTCCTCTTCATCCGTCTCATTCCCTTGAGCCCAATTATCTACTACATCAGCATCAAACAGTCCCACCTCAAAATTTTCCATCATGACTCCGTTCTCGTCCACCACTCCCATTCTCTGAAACGAAGGAGGTGGTGGAGGTAGTGGAAGTGGAGGAGGCGGAGATGCATCCGGCTTCTGTTCCTGTTGCTCTTCTTCTTTGGGTTGCTGAGTGCTTCTTGAAACTGTGTCGTTTAGGACAGACGACAAATCAAATGTTTTGTTGACATTACGGGAGAGCGAAACGGTTGCACCTGCATTAGAAGCAGTGGAAGGAAGAGTATCTTGGCGGGAATTAAAGAAAACGAGCGGTTGTTGCTGGCCGCCAGACCAGTGCTTGCCGAAGTAGAAGAATGTGACTGCTAAGAATGTCAAGGCCGCAACTTTTATCAGTGTCGTCGATTTGAACAGATCCCCATTTCCCATCCCCTTCATTTCTCTCCACAATTCACCTGTTCATACGGCCACAATCTCTCTCGAGAGAAACACAAGTTGCGGATCAGGGCCTGCAGGAACAACAATATAATGTGAGAGTCACTCAGAGCAACAATATTAATCGAGATAGGCAGATATCATTTCTAAATTTGTGGGAAAGAAGTCCTAGAACGGTGATAAAAAACAAACACTCATCAAAGTTTATGGAGATTGGACTTGCTGAGAGTTACCGAGTTAGTAACCTTTATACAAATTTACCATGTAAAAAACCTTGACCTTCATTATTTTCTAGCAGAAAGAAAATTTCCTGTACACTGTGGGGAGCATGCTAGAACAGTTCTTGACATACAAAGAGAATAACCCTGAACCAATCATCATCATTTTACAATGTTGTATTGCCAATAAATATCAAGGTAAATTTTATTAGTTCTACACATTCATTATAATAATGATAAGCAAAATTTGAATTTTTTGAATTCACAGTAAAATCTCTTTTCATAATAGCTTATCTTTTTTATCTTTATTCCTTCTTTTCCTTTTGGTTGTGATATCATGTATCGATTCATGTTAGCCGACCCCAATATCTTTTGGGACTAAGGCTTGGATGTTGTTGTACAGTAAAATCTGTTTTCCCAGGTTCTGTTTAGGTACCAAGCATGTTTAATGTAACCAAAATGATTCTTAATGGTGATGAAGATGGGCTCAGAGAGTTCAGATTAAGGCATGACAAACATAAAATAATTTTTAATAAGTACTATGTAAACCAATTACTAAATTACAGTCAAAAATTACGAATTAAAAACTAAACTATGTAAAACTAATGCAGCAGCTAGGCATCATCGCAGCAAGCACGTGAAACAGCAGATGAACAAAAAAGATATAGGTAGTTTTAAGTGAAGATTTAAATAGAAGTTAGAGGCCTAAGAAGTTTGAAGTTTTGGGGTTGTCGAACAATACCTACTGAGTCGAAGATTTATAGTTTGAGGCCTAGCAGATGGTCAGCTACAGGCGCCGGGCCTGAAAGCTGCAGCAGACGGAGAGCCATGGGAGGCGTGCGCAGTAGAGGACTTCCCCGTTGACAGAGATAGACGGGCTGTAAGCTTGAGTGCAGGGCCGGTCCTGTCTGTTTGAAGGCCTAGGGGAGGAGAATTTAAAATGGGCTTAATCTAAAGAAATTGTAAAACTCTTTTTTGCCTGAACTAACATGGGTAATAATAATTCAATATCTTTATAATATAAAAAGGCTTCAATCTGTTAAATTAAACATAGTAGAACTGTAGAATCACGGTTTTAAAATATTAAAAAAAACATTCTGAACCGTTTCATTTTCGACAGCTAAACCATTCATCTCTTCCCCCAGTCTATCATTCTCATTCAAAGAAGAAATTGATTGTAGAGTCGGTAATGCATCATCTTGATGAGAACATTCAGGATTTAATCTGACTTCTTCAAATAAACATTTTTTTCCACTGAACCTTTTCACTAAGGCCGCTTTCTCTAATCTTCTGCTCTTTTTTCTTTCTCCCATCCAGATTCAGCCAATTAATTACACCTTAAAATTAATTAAGTTTATAAATTTAATAATAATTCGAAATTTTGTAAAATCAAATACTAAAATCAATTAATTAGTAGTATAACATTAACACAAATTCCAAATTTAATTACATGAAGAAATTCAAAAAATCAATAATAATCACTTAAAGTTCAACAAATCAACAAACATGAATTAATCAACTAATCACTTAATTAGAAACTACAAAACAACAAAATCATTATGACACAACTCGAATGAATTAAGCAAGAAATCTAACTTATCATCAACACACACACACACTAATCAACCCAAAACAATCAACAACTATGATTCTCTGAGCCATTCAACCATTAAGCTGATCTGGAATAATCATTTTAAGAGTTAAATATCAGATTAGCAGAATACCAGGAAGCACTGAATTGAAGGTCAGGGGGCGAAGGGGCTGCGAATCTGGGATTCTAGAAACTGTGAAAAATCGCAATCGGAGGCCTCGGGTCCACTGAGAATGGGCACTGCCAGGGAGGTGGCCAAGCGTTCCAGTGAGAATGGCCTGTGAGCGTTTAGCACTTCTGCGCTGGGCTCCGTTTGTAAATGGTTCGCTGCGTTGGGACGCTGCTTGGGCCGGGGAAATGGTTAGATTAGGGCTTGAAAACTCACCAAGTCATACGTATTACCGGAGATTAAAATTGGAGGACTAATCTGGTGAGGTGCGGCTTACCATATATTTTTTGAGTTGAATTTTTTGATGAATTTATGTTAACATGTTCTTCACAAAATGTAGATGATGTATACAAAATTTCAATTTAAAATTATATTTGGAAGTCATATAAATAGATTATTTACAAACATTGTGCTTCATATTTTTCTTAAAACCCGATAGAATGTAGGGGAACATTTAACGAATTTTATTAAAATAAAAAGGAAATAATATACAGCACCGAGAGAGGGATTAGGCCTAAACCTCTCGTACGAAGGCATACTTTCTTAAAATACATTTTACTAAATACCACAAAAAGAACACAGTACACCAAAGCCCAAAAAAGATACAAGGAACGAAATACCAAGGCCCACTTAAAAAACAAATTACATACGCATATTAGGAATGTAATCCGTTAGGACAACACCCCCACATCAGGAGTAGGGGTGTCACAATTCGGTAAACCGACCGAACCAATCCGATACCGAAATTTTGGTACATCCAAATACCGAACCAAAATTTCGATTCGGTAATCGATATGTGTAATTTTGAAAAATCCGTATTCGGTTCGGTATGTATAAAAAATATGGTTTTCGGTATGTACCGAATAACAAAATAAATAAAATAATATATATTCAATATATAATATATTTATATATTGTGGCCCGGAATATATTAATATTGGTATATGTATATATATTTCGGCATGTATTACATATTTATATATAATATATTTAATTATTTATATTTAATATAATACATTTAAATCTAATATATTCAAATATTTATATATAAACATTGAATACCTATTTGGTATTTCGGTTTTACGGATTACCAAACCGAATTTTTTTTACCGAACCAATCCAATTTAGTTCGGTTCGGTATTCGGTACGGGGATGTTCAAAACCGAAATTTTGGTAAACCGGAATTTCGGTTTGGTTTGGTATTACAAATGAACACCTCCTAAATATTATTCAGGAGGCAACAGAGCATAAAAGGGAAGCCTTTAAGATTTTCAGGCAGTGGAAGGCGCTAGTGAAAAATCAAACGGGGAAGAAGATCAAGAGGTTGTGAACTGATAATGGCTTGGAATTTTACTCGTCTAAGTTTAATGATTTTTTCAAGAAAGAGGGGATTTCTAGGCATCATACAGTTGGGGATACACCATACCAAAATGGTGTAGTAGAAAGTATGAATCAGACACTTCTGGAGAGCGCTAGATGCATTCATCTCAAAACTCCTATTGAGAAATGGCCTGGTAAGTCTGTTGATTACTCCGATTTAAGAGTTTTTGTTGTACTGTTTATTATCATGTAAATGAGGGTAAATTGGAGCCACGAGCTAAAAAGGGAGTATTCGTAGGCGATGGGGAAGGGGTTAAAGGTTATACAATCTGGTCTCCATCTGAAGATAGGGTTATACTGAGTAGAAATGTAGCCTTTGATGAAAATTCTATGTTTAACTCTGCAACGAAGCCTACTGTTGTATCAGAAAGTGGTGGTGTTGAGAAATAGGTGGAGCAGGGAGTCACTCAAGAATAGAGTGAACCACAACAGGAAGTTCAACAACCACAGATTGGCTAGAGAGATTGCACTGAGCCTGTCACAATACACTGCAGCCTGATCATGATGTAGACCCAAATCACTGACCAAAGCTTTCAACCAGATTCCTTCTTTTGCAGCTTCTGTCAATGCCATGTACTTTGCTTGACTGCTTCTGTAGTAGACAAAGCCACTGTAGGTTGCAGAGTTGCTTTCCAACTGTCAATTGAACCACCCAGAGTGAAAGCATAACCAGACATAGATCTTATACTGTCAACATATTCAGCATAATCAGAGTCTGAAAATCCGGCACCAAACACTATGTATCACCTTCATAAATGAGTCCAACACCAGACGTACCTTTTAAGTACCGAAAAAATCTCTTCATAGCTTGCCAATGCTTCTTGCCTGGATCACCCATAAACCTACTAGCAACACTGATAGATTGTGCAAGATCAGTATAGTGCAGACTATTACATACATCAACCTTTCTACTGCACTAGCATAGGGAACTCGAGACATGTACTCATTCTCCTCAGCACTAGCTCGTGAGAAGAAAATCAAGGTGAGCAAAGTGGTAATTGCTAATAATACAGCTGATATGCTCACCAAATCGGTTCCACATAGCAAGTTTCAACATTGTTTGAACTTGCTAAATGTTCGGAGTTGTTGATTGCCCTCTTAGGGCAAAATCCGAGGCAGAAGAGTTTTTTCTGGTACATCTGGCATTATTATGGCACATCTGGTACATTTGTTTTTTTTTTGCGAGAGGATTCAAGTCAAAGTGGAAATTTGTTAGAATATGCCTTGCATCTGTAGCCGTCAGACTTGACTTATGTAGCCACCGGCAGCACCACCTACCACACCTAAATAGCAATGCATGAAAAGTTCTCTAATTTGTTTATCCTCAAGATCCATATAAACACTTCTTTTCATCTGCCCATTTTCCCTGTTTTATCATCTTTCTTGCTTCAGTTATAACACTTCCTCTTCTAAAATCAATCTGGTTTATTTTAGAGAGTAGGGGGCTCATTATGATATCATGGATCACAGCGATGATCCAAGAATAAATTAAATGAATCCCATGACATGGGACATCGAACCAAGCCAATTAATCAGGATTAATTAATAATAGCCATAGGGCCTAACAGAGACTGCGACCCGCGAGAGAAACACACAACCGGGCCAGTCTTGGACAGCAGACCTCGAGCTTGGGCGGGATTCCATTGTGCATAGCTATCTGGCAGCGGGAAAAAACTAAAAGAAGAAATGCGAACCTAAAGAAGTAATGATTGTGAAATAATCGGAGATGCTACAAGAGCCCTATCATAACTAAATGTATTAAATGTATCGGTTTTATCTCCTTAGGCTACTGTAGATCCGGGACGATAAATTCTTCCTATATTTACCCTAAAAGGGATCCGCCATTTGAATAATATAACTGTCTTACGCTGCCTAAATTACTCTGCTCTCGTAGATTAGCTCTCGTAGTTGGAATTAAACTCCATCAAACTAAAAAGAATAACAATATAAATTTCAGGAATGAAAAACAAAAAAATAATCTTTCAGGAATGCAAAACAAAATATATTATATTTGCTGGGATTAAAAACATATTTAAAGGGATTCATAATTCTTTATTTAAAATGGAAATTGGAAAAATTAATAGAATAAAGGAAAAATTGATTGTAATAATCCCAACTATTGGCGGTCCGCTCATAATAATCTAAACTATCGATTATTTCAGAATAATCCCAACTTTAGGGACCTTCCACCAATAATGGTCCAACGTGACCGACTATAAATATATTCCTATATTTTCTAAAGAGATACTCCGTATAACAAGTAATCCCTATAAATAATCTCAAATTTTAATTTTTACGCTTAATTTCTATTAAAAATTCACTTGTTATAGCAGGTATCATGCGGTCATGGACCATTATTAACAGACGGTCCATATAGTTGAGATTATACAAAAATAATCAATAGTTTGGATTATTGTTAGCGGACCGGCAATAGTTGGAAACTTGAGATTATTATTTTCAATTTTTTCTAGAATAAATAAAAAAAAGAAAGTTGATAGAGGTATAACCAGTGCTTATACCGTGGAACCGGTGCATGGTGAGCATCATGCACCCTTTGTTATTTTTTATTTCTCCTTTTCTTAAAATTGTTATAAATTTTTTTATTTTTGATCCGATTTTTAAAAAATTTATATCAATTTTTTTTTATTTTTCATGAGCTTTCAAATGAGACCAATATTGCCTGTGTAATTTTAACATATTAACATTTGCGTGTAATGTAACTTTATGTGTTAAAATATGTAACTCACGTTCAGTCAGGCCAAATGCAACTCATGTGTATAAATATGTAATTCTACGTGTAAAAATATGTAACTTTACGTAAAAATATATGTAACTCGCGTTCAGACAGGTCAAATGCAACTCGTGTGTATAAATATGTAACTCACGTGTATAAATATGTAACTTTAAGTGTAAAAATATGTAACTTTACGAAATTAATTATTTAAAAAAGATATTTTTTTTGTTTCAATAACAGGGGTTGATTTTTTAATGTAACTCATGTTATTACAAATGTAACTCGTGTTGATGGCAAATATAACTTAGATGTATACATAATGTAACTTGTTGAAAAATTAAACAATTTTTTTTGTGTGTGTTTGAGAATAATATATATGTCATAAACATTGATTTCAATGAAAAAATGAAAAAATTGATCCTAATAGCTTAATTACTTTTTTTAAATAGTGAATATGTTTTATGTTTAATATTAAGGCTATAAAAATGATATAGCAGAGGTTTATTTCGTGGTGTAACTCACATACATTAAGATGTAGCTCGCGTACAATAAGATGTAACTCGCATACAATAAGATGTAACTCGCGCAGAAGAAGATGTAACCTCATGATATATTATCAAATGTAACTTCAAAATAATTTATTAAAATTACATAAGCAATATTGGTCTCATTTGATAGATCATGAAAAATAAAAAAATTTGATATAAAATTTATAAAAATCAGATATCAAATATAAAAAATTTATTACTCCCTCCGTTCCTAATAAAACTTCCAAATGGGTTGGGCACACAGTTTAAGATAGTGGGTATTATGTGGTGGAGAGTTGTGCAGAGGAAAGAAATGTGTAAGAAATGTTGTGAACCACAAATTCTTTACCAAAAAGGGAAAGTAGAAGTTTTAATTGGAACAGACGAAAAATGAAAGTTGAAAATTTATTTAGGAACGGAGGGAGTACAATTTTTAACAATAAAAGAAATAAAAAATAATAAAATGAAGTCACTGCATGAAATGACCGCATGCTACGTCGTTTTGTAACCGGGCGCACGGTATAAATTGCGGGTACAACGGATTCGAGAGAGCACGTATTCAATAATCTTAGTCAAAGTGATTATACGTGCATGGTGAGGATTTAGACCGAGAGACATGTGTCCGATAAGTCGTAGAAAAAACGAACGGCAGACGACTAAACTCTGACACCGAAAAACCCGCTTACGAATTACGAGAACATGACCCCAAGCTTAGCTTGTCCCGGACCTCATCATCAATGGTTCAATGTCTAGTTAAATGTCGTGCTCGTACACAACCTGCTCGAAAAAAAGCGAGAGAGAAAAAGGAAAGGAGACCCTCAAATGGGTATAAAAACGAGCCTGACCCACAAAACCACAGCCCGTACCAACTGAATCTGATCTGATTGATATAGGTACTGCTACTATTACTTACCCATCTCTTCCTACTGTTTTCATACTACTCTCTTGCGCAGAAGATCTACGAGAGTAGAGTTTTATTCACATATACACAGCTCATTTTCACGGTCAGGTGGTAGTTGAGGTTTTTGTTTTTGAACTGTGATGACATGAAGTTTCATAAGCTGGGATTTCTGTAATTGGAAAAGGTTTCATGAATGGTTTGCCCTCAGATCTCTGATTCAACTTTTGTCCCTTCAATGGGGTCTTGATTACTTTCCTATTCATGATAAAAAGCTTCCCGTATATAAAGATTTGTACTTCCCACCCCACCCCACCCCACCACCCCCTGGTTTCTGAGAAAATCCTGGCAATAGGGTTTGCTTTAGCTTGTGGGTTTAATCGAGTATGATTTGGGGAACTGTTTAGAGTTGAAATTTTTGTTCTCTGCTTGTTGAATTGGTTTTCTAGGGAAGTTCCAAGAAAACTTGGAGATCGAGGCTTGTAGGGTGAATGTGTAATTTAGTTTGATGAAACGTTACTTGTGGAGAGTTCAGAAGCTGCTTGTTTCTGGAGAGAATCTTTATCGAAGTATAAAAAAAGGACATTTTGGTCAGGTGTGAAGAAAAAGAAGCGATCAGCAGCTGTATATGGCTAATAGGTGGTGGACTGGAAATGTGGTGGGGATGAATGAGATGAGGGGGTCAGGTGGAGGAGATCCAGAATTGCATCTGATGAGAAACAGTGGTGAGGAGGAAGAAGAAGAAGAGAAGAGAAGGGAGCAGGATTTCATGGCTGATACCAGCAGTGATGGGAATGAAGGGCAGATGATGAACCCGACTGATCCTGGGGCCCTTGTGATTTCTGAACCCAGCAGCTCCGGTCGCCGCCCAAGGGGGCGGCCTCCTGGGTCAAAGAACAAACCCAAACCCCCAATTGTGATCACCAAGGAAAGCCCTAATTCCCTTCATAGCCATGTCTTGGAGATTAGCAGCGGAAATGATATAGTTGACTGCATCTCGGGCTTCGCCCAACGCTGCCACCGCGGCGTGTCGGTCCTGAGCGGCACCGGCGTGGTGGCTGACGTCACTCTCCGGCAACCAACCTCTCCTGACGGAGCGGTCACCCTACGTGGGAGGTTTGATATTCTGTCCTTGTCGGGGGCTTTTTTGCCATCCCCGTCGCCCCTAAGGACGACCGGACTTACGGTTTACCTGGCGGGCGGGCAGGGGCAAGTTTTGGGTGGGAACGTGATCGGTGCACTGGTGGCCTCTGGGCCGGTGGTGGTGATTGCCGCCACCTACATGAACGCCGCCTACCAAAGGCTTCCTTTGGAGGATGAAGAGCTGCGGCAGGCGGTGGATGAAGGTGGCGTGCCATTAGGAGTAGTTGAGACGGTGTCGTCATCATCAGCGCCACATTCTCACGGGTTGGTTGATTCTTTATACAACTTGCCACCCAACTTGTTGCACATCCCCCATGAAGCCCATTGGCCACCTCCTCCCCGCCCTCCTCCGCCCTCTTACTAATCAATCAATAGGACTGGGAGAGAGATCGGCCGCTAACCTCGCCCCTCCGATCAGTCAGTCAGTCAGTCCTGCATCTTGCTCAAAATGTAAGCAGGGATTGATGAAGCTCAACAACGTACATTTTCTTGTTGTCATTCCCCTGTAAACTTTTGTGAATCCCCCTCTTTATTATATTTCTTTTCTGAGGTTTAGTCTTTTTTGGTTCTTCATTTGTAAAATGTTACTCCTTTTGTCCGATTGTTATTATGGAGTTGTGTTTTTATTTTTCTCTTCTTCTTTTGCCTTTGATGCAACATCCTATATGCAGATGGATTAATTGATGGATTAGAACTTATAATTAAGCGTTTACTTTATGTAATCTAATCTAAAATAGGGAGTATGATAGGTTCAGCTGTATATTTATGGTCGCGACCACTTGTCAGTCAGTATTTTGGTAGGCCAATATCTGATCTTAAGTGCATTTGAATCTCTTTATTTTTCAAGTCTATCTTGGCGGCCCACTCTCTGATTTTGAGTTCATTTATTCAATAAAACAAGTCGCATCTCCTCAAGTCAAATGCTATTCTATGACCGGTACTTTCTTAGAAACCATGTCACAGACCTTGTCTAAATTAAAGATTCATCCAAGTGGTGCCCGGAGCTGGAGTGATAAGGTTCCTTGAATAAACTTAATTCACTGTTCCAAAGGTGGAATCTCCCGCCCTAGAAGCCCCCACCCCGATCCGACAGGATGGTGGGGAGGTTAGTCACGGTGACTCAGTCAGCAGAATGGTAGTAGACTCATACATCCGTGCGCACTAGAGGCCCAACCTTATTTCAAGTTCTGTGACCTCCACTCGGTCGCTGCGGAGATTCGAACCTTGGTCCATTGTTCCAAATCTCCCACCACTCGACCAACTGAGCTACCCGTCGGGTGAATAAACTTAATTCAAGTCTTTTATAGGAGTACATTTTTAACTTGGGCCAAGTTCATAAATAACGCCAATTATGTTTTCCATTAAATGCGGATATTTTGTTTAAGTACAATAATAATAAAAATCTCACCTCTAAACAGTTCCCCAAATCATACTCTCATACTTGTTGGTACCATTTGGTTTCGGTTTCTTTAATAAAAAGAAAGTTGTTTTGATAAAATGAAAGGGCGTGTTTGGCATTCATTGGTTAGTTGTTAGCGGATGACGGATTATGTTAGCGAGTTGTCAATAGCGGATTTGGTCAAAGGATTTGACTAGCCGAATAAATTGGATTTGACTAGCCGAATAAATTGGCAGATTGTCAGAAAATGTTTGGTAATTTAGATGTTTGGCCATAAAATTAGTAGAAAACGTCATTTTTAAAACGCCAATCCAAAACTCTCCTATTAGCAGCATTTTCATTTCAACGTTTCCGTCCAAAAACGCTGGTGCCGAACAACTATTTATCAAACAACTTTTTCACTTATTGAAAACGCTAAAGTAGTCAAATCGCCATTTTTCGACTGAAATGTCGTTTACCAACGCACCCATTATCTAAAATGTTTGAGAAATTATCTCATTAAAAATGTTTTTTCTATGTCAATTCATATTTATCGGTTGTTTTTATATTAATTAAATTTAAAGAAATTGTTGATAAAATGTTATAAAAGTGTCTAAATATATACTCATGTCTTATATTCACGAAAAAGGAGCCTAGTCAGTCTCTTATCTTTGTTATATGGAGTAATTTAATATTGTAGCCCTAATTAATATATTAGTTTTGGGTCGTCTACTGCTCCATCTCTCTCCTCTCTTCCGTTTCTCACTCTAATCAATCATATGCTTCCATCTCTCTCCCCCTCCTTCTCGATTGTTCCCGCTCTTCAATCAATCATAGGTAGCACCAACAATTTTGTTGCGGCGTCGTTCCTCCATATCTCTCATCTCTGAAGAGAACTCAATTTGGCTGAAATGCGATTTCTCTAGAGAATTTCGAGCAGTGGCAACAACATGATCATTTCTTGTTAGGGGTGGACTCGGGTCCGGGCCGGGTCGGGCCTAGGCCCGGGCGGGCCGGGGTTCAGGAATGGTGGACCCGGGACCGGCCCGGGTAGCCCCCGGGTCCGGTCCGGGTCCGGGCCGGGGCGGGCCGGGCCTCCGGTTTTTTTTTTGCTTTCCTAACCCCCACCCCCCACCCTCCCAAACCCCCCAAACCCATCCTACCCATCCTACCCATCAAGCCCAACCCGGGTGGAACCCCAAAAATGAAAAATAAAATAAAAATAATTCAATTTGGCTCGAGCCCGGGTCCGGCCGGGCCGGTTCACCAAATTTGAGACCCGAGCCCGGACCCGCCCTACCCCTCGGGCCTAGGCCCGACCCGGACCTGAGAACCGGGTGGGTCCCGGTCCCGCACAGTAACGGGCCAGGCCGGTCCATGGGCCGGGTGGCCCGATCGACTCCAACCATATCTGTTGTAGGTAATTGTCAATATTCTTCTTCTCTTTTTGTCATCTTTGGCTTCGTTGTTTGTCATATTCTTGAAGAAACTAGATTTCATGTTACTTTGTTGTTGGAAGATAATGAAATCGATTCGAATGTTTGTTTTATATTGTAGAGAAGTTGTAATACTTTTTCTAGTCTTTATTATTAGTTTAGTAGCCTGAGCTTCTATGTTTTGATAGAAAAATCTATGTAGTTGTGGGGTTACGGAATTGTTATGTTCTTCTGAAATCTTTCAGTTCTACGTCTCATCTCATTGTGTCCTTAGTTATCTCAATTCTTTTATTTTGATCATTCATTAATAAATAAGTGATTTTCCAATTATTTATGTTTTTTGAACTATGTTTTTCTAATTAATGTTGATATCTATGGGCTTATATTTTATTTATTTGGAATTCGAAAATTCCATGATTATTATTCTTATTTTTCCATTGAATACCATTGACTGAAAATTGATTTCAAAATGATGTCATTTTTATAACATTTTCTTTATCAAGATGTCAATACTACTCTTTTGAAAATACTATATTAAAGCTAACCGCAACCTTATGGGTGAAAATTGAAAACCCCAAATTTGAGGTTTTCACCCAGAGTATAGGGGTGAGTTCAGTTCAAACATTTCGCTTTTGACCTAAAATCAAATGTCAAACCAATGTAAAATGTTCAATTCGATTTGATCTTTCAAAATATAAATGGGAAAGTTTCCGAAATGGGACTAGAACAGTTTGAAAATTCCAAAATAGGACTGTCATGTTTTTATTCCCAAAATAGGAGTAATTACTGTCAAGTTTAGAAAATACTGTCATGTTTGAAGTCTGGTACTTCCAAAACATGACAGTAATTAGTCCTATTTCGGGTAATATTATCAATATAAATTCATGATTTCTTCGGTTTAATTTCGGCTCTTCAATTTTTTTTAAATACTTTTGTTGATTAAAACACATACTACCTTTGTCCCAATGGACTTTACACTTTTTGAATTAAGTGAGAAATAAGAATAGTAAAAATCGTGTGACTGAAGTTTGTGCAAAGAAGAGAAAATTATGACAATTTATATTAGTATAAAGCATTTCTAGATAACACTGTCATATTAATTAATGCATAGGTGAATGATATCATTCTAGTAAAAAACATTAGTAATCATGTCCTAGGAAAATACATTAGTTTCACTAACATTAATGGTAATTTTCTCAATTATTTAATATTTCTCTTTTATGTAAGAATTTTACTAAAAGATTACTAGAATAAATAGTGTCCACCAAAATGTGACTAAATTGAATAGGATTATACTTTCAAAGTGACTTTAATATAAAATTTAAATATAATTATAGTCAATTAAAGTTAATAAGTGACATTTTTATAGTCATATATCAGAAACTATTTCTTTATTTAATAAGGAATAATCCATATAGAGGTTGAAAAAGACATGTTATTAAATTAACTTTAAAAGTATTTTAAGTTTTACATATACAATATTGATGACATATGAAAGATCATAAAAATTTATGAATTTTGTTATATATTTTATAAAAATTAAAATAAAAATGAAAAAATTATAGCTTGGCAGTTTTTATATTCTGAGCCCCACGAACTATTGTCTCCTCCACTTCTTAATTCTTATGTGCAGCTGTGTTACTTCGACTATTCCAGTATTCCTCGTACGTAAGTCGCCAAATGGAATAACGATTCTCATTGACTATGATTTGACCTAATAGTATTTTGGTAAATAGTTTCAACCCAACACTAATTCTATAAATAATTTTTATTTAACATTATTTTGATAAAAAAAATGAATTATTAATTCATAAAATACGAAGGGTTAATAAAAAAGGAGTGTTGCGGATTATTTTAGAAAGAAGAAAATGGAATGATTAAACTGCCGCTAGAACACCAACTTGGCCTTGGTCATATTGCTATACCGATACTGACCACCTTCGCGGCAACACTAAATTCTGTAAACAAAACCATACTGCTGACCATTGCCGCCATGCTGAGGTTAGATGCAGCCATAACTATAAGCTGCACCATTGACTTCTGCAATATCACCGCCAAACTGACCACTGCTTCTGCCGAAACTAATTTAAATTGCTTACTCAAATCTATCAATGACTTTTGTTGCCGACTTGCGGTCACTGAAAAAATAAGCATTACGACCGTCAAATGTTAGGCCTCATCGTTGCTATACAGAAGAATGGACCTGGCAAATGGAGGAAAGAGAACTACATTATGTTTCCCCACCTCTAACAATGTCAGGCCATCAAACACATCTACAGTCCTCCAGAACAACTATCTATTATAAGAGTCACATTTGGCTTGCCACTGATTAAACTACATGGTTGAAAGCTTTTTCTGTCAGGTTTATAATGTTCCCTCACCTTCTTCCTCAAAATTCTTTACCCGTCAGAAGCCCCAAATTTCGCAATCATTGAAACCTGAGAAGCATTAAAGATGAAATTAGCCTTTGACCCAATTTATTGGTCTTTCTCTTTTTAGGGTGAACAAATGCATTTACCTGAACCCACTGGTTTATCATCACCAATTGCAGGACCTGAGAGCATTCCATTGCCTAAAGGCGCATCAACAACAGTCCAATCCGAATAGCACATGTCCTTTGAGTATAGTACCTCTTTCCCTGAAACCCAGTCCCCAGCAAGAGCTATATTTTGAAATGCAATGGGGTCCCACTGATTCTGTTCTCTATTCACGTGTCTTCTACAATAAAAATTAGTCAACAACAAAAGAGAGAACATAACTTTTCCCTACTTATTACACCTTTGAAAGAATTTGAGCCCGTTTGATCACCTGTTATCTTGTCTTATCTGCTAGATTTGTCATCAAACGCGAACTTATTTTCCTGAGCTCACTGGATTAGCTTGAGATGATAAA